ATTGTTTTCTATTTTTTCATTCTTTTGGATTTGTTTTACAGTGTCTTGATTTCTTATAAAGTCACTAGCTTCCAATGCTCCTTTCTAATTTTTAAGGATGTATTTTCTTCAGTAAGCTTTCGAACTTCCTTTTCCATTTGGCCAATTTTGCTTTTTAGGGCATTCTTCTCCTCATTGGCTTTTTGGACCTCTTTTGCCATTTGGGTTAGGCTAATTTTTTTAAGGTGTTATTTTCTTCAGTATTTTTTTGGGTCTCCTTTAGCAAGCTGTTGACTTGTTTATCATGATTTTCTTGCATCACTCTCATTTCTCTTCCCAGTTTTTCCTCTACTTCTCTTACTTGTTTCTCAAACTCCTTTTTGAGCTCTTCCATGGCCTGGGACTGATTCATATTTTTCTTGGAGGCTTTGGATGTAGGAGGCTTTGACTTTGTTGTTTTCTTTTGGTTGTACGTTTTGATCTTCTTTGTTACCAAAGAAAGATTCTTTCTTTGGTCTGACTGTTTTTGGACCTTCATTTATTCACGATCCCAGCCAATTACTCGAGTTTTAAACTCTTTGTTAAGGTAGGAATCTGCTTCCAGTGTGGAGAATGTACTGTCTCAAGCTTCATGGGTTTTGTGCAGCTGTTTTCAGAGATACTTCTAGGGACCTGTAAATTTTCAGTTCTTAATTTTTTTTTTAGGCAATTAGGGTTAAGTGACTTGCCCAGGGTCATACAGTTAGTAAGTGGTCTGAAGCCAGATTTGAACTCAGGTCCTCCTGACTTCAGGGTCGGTGCTCTTTCCACTGCTCCACCTAGCTGCCCCTAATTTTTAGTTCTTCTAAGGTGGTATGAAAGGGGCAAGGTATTTATTCCTTTCCTGGTCTGTGCTCTGGTCTATGAGTGACCACAAGTACTCTTTTCTGCCTTGCAACTATGAGAAGGATTTCCTCTCCACCACCACTACAAGCTCCACCACACCAGCACTCCTCCTTGCCCCAGGATCACCACCCAAAACTGTGACCCAGATCCAAGCATGGGCAAAGCAAGAGAATCCTGTACCAGCAAAGATATCCCTATAATCCCCATCTGATTGGTCACTTGATTCCCCCTCAATCCATGGGCTAGAAGCTGTGGAAGCAGCCGCTGCTCCAGGGCAGAGCTCAGGGACTGGGGAAGGGACAGCAACTGCACTTGTTTCTCACTGCAGTCACAGACTTTTCCCACTGACCTTCTGAGTTGTCTTTGGTGTTCATGGGTTGAGAGGTCTGGAAACCACCACAGCTGCCCGCGATTCAGTCCTCTGAAGCCTGCTTCAGATTCACTGAGGCCTGCCTTGTCTGTGTGCCCACGTTGAACTGCACTCCTCTCCCCGCCGAGTGGCAATAGACCTTTCTGATCAACCATCCAGGCTGTCTTGGGCTGTAAATTTGTTTCACTTTGTCTTTTTATGGGTTCTGCTGCTTTAGAATTTGTTTAGAGCCATTTTTTACAGGTATTTGGAGGGGTTTGGAGGAGAGCTCAAGCAAGTCACTGCTTTTACTCCTCTTACCCTTATCTTATCTCTAATTAGATGTCTGCTGCTTCCAATCTCAACTCCTGCACCTCATTGCCAAAATTACCTTTGTAGGGCACAAGTCTGATCATCTCACTTCCCTGGTCCAAATCCTTCTTTAGCAGTTTTTGGCTTTCAAGACCCTTCACAACCTGTATGTCACCTACTTTTCTAGTAGGTTTTGCATTATTCCCCTTCACATACTCTTTGTCCTAAACAAAGTGGACAATTTAGTAGCTGTTCTGCAAACTCAGCTTTCTATCTCTTTCTTCTCTGCATTTCTATTAGTTATTCCCTATGCCTAAAAGGAACTCTTTCCTCATCCCAGTCTTTCAGAACCCTTATCTTGCTTCAAGATTCAACTCATTTAAAAAATCCTCAAATAAAGCTTTTCATCACCCTCCTGGTTAATTATCATATATTTTATCGTGTAAAATTATCATATAATTACTTAAATTGTATACTGCTGTATTTCCCCAGTATGCCCTTCAAAGGTAGGGTCTGTTCTGTTTTTTCTTTTTTTCTTTAGCACCTTGTACATAGTAGGAACAGTATTTACGAATTGAATTGAATCATTTTATGAAAAGTCTTCCTTTATTACATTGTATTGAGAGCTCAGCGTCTCTGCTGGACGATAGAACGTGAGTAGAAAGCTTCAAATGGAGGATTCCAATGGACAGGCTATGCTTCGATGTTGCAGTTTCATGGCGTGTTGTGGCAGCACTATCTCAAAGAATTCATAGTCAGACCACCTCTAATCCAAGTATAGGCATTTATTGATGATTGACATCCCTCAGAAGTGGGCTAGATTCCAAGAGGAACCAACAATTTAGTAAGACAACACAGGCAAATTTATAGTGTAATGTTGCTGATTACACAACAGAAATTATGAATATTAAAAAGGCAGGAGGGATTTGTTAAGGGATTAGGTAATGGGGAGGGATCCCTTCTGTGGTTCAGTGGTCCATCATCCTAGTAGTGCTGCTTTCTGATTGGCTAGCTATTGTGGTCCTGTCTGGTCAAGATGGATAGTAAGGTGTTGTGGTCCTGTGTTGGGCTAAATGGATGATGTGATTATGGTTGAGTACAAGGACATACCTGTTCAAAAATGTGAATTGGATCTTAGGGCTGTGGCTAGCTAGAGGCAGTGGCTATATTGAGTCTGGGGGCTTGAGGTGTAGTTAAAGCTAGATTGTGTGGTTAAATCAGGACATGTCTATTGTTCAGTGGGGCCCATAAGGAAGTTAGAATATTGAGGCTGGGGGCAGCTTTATTAGGATTCCATCCGCGAGAACACAAATATTACTAGCTATTTGTGGACTAGGGATGTGTAATATAATTTTCCCTCTCCCTCAGTAAGCATTTCTAACCTGGGGTATGTGAACTTGTTTTTACAAACATATTTTTGATAACTATATTTAATATTATGTCCTTTGTAATCGTATGTATTTTATTTTATACATTTTAAAACATTCTGAAATTATTATTATGGATCCTTATTCTTGGCTCCATGGGCTTTCCCACAGTGCTAAAGGAGCGCATAATGCAAGAAAATGTTAAGAAACTCTGTCTTGGAAGATTCATCTTTGTGAGGAATGATTATTAATAAGCAATATCTTGGGGAGATTCAGAGGCTCTCCACCTTCTTCTAAATTCCTCATTTTAAAAGTTCAGTTTTTCTTCAGAAGGACATTACTGATAAAGAAATTGCATTAACTCTCCTATATCTTTTTCAAGGCCCCACCCTGGTGGAAGCTATTGTGTCCTGCTCTTTGAATTCTTTGAATTGATAGCCTAAAGCTATGGGTGGCCTGATACAGAGATACTTTCCCTATCCTAGAGATACTCAGCCCTTCATTTTAATATAGCCCACCTCCAGTCACATTAACCAATTAGATTTGATTGCTGTTTGATGGACCACCTACTGTTTTGAAGGGTAAATAAACTGTGAGTTGGCTCCATGATTGTCTTTGGTCTAAGAGAAGACCAAATGACCATCCTTTTATTAATAACCTGTTGGCCTTATTACTAAAATGATTAAATCACCCAGAAACTTTGTCTCTCAAACCTTTTTAAATGTCGCACCTTATGTTTCTTTGAGCTAACATTAAGATTGTTTTTCATTAACAGAGAGAAGTTCTCCCAGTAGCATGAGACAAAGAAAAACCAGTCTAGAATTTAAAATTTTGATGGTTAGTCCCTAAAAATATATAATGAATCAGTTTATTAATTCTCCTAGAATATTATGGCTGGATAGGACTTAAGAGAGTTATTGTGTTCTACCCCATTTCACAGGTGAGGAAACAAAGGCCTAGAAAGTTTCAGAAACTTGGCCAAATTTTTGCCTTTATTAAGTGGTGTAGCTACTGTAGCTGGAATTAGAACCCAGATCTGTCTCCCAAGCCTGAATATATTCTTTCCTCACTTCCACCCCTTAGAATCCTTACCTTCCTCCACTGTTTAGCTCAAGCTAAATTTCCTACATGAGGCCTTTCCTGATCCCCCATGTACTAGAGCTCTTCCTCAAATTACTTGTTATTTTCTCCGTGTGTGTGTGTGTGTGTGTGTGTGTGTGTGTGTGTGTGTGTGTATACATAGGGTTTCCCCTAATATAAAAGAATCCCATTAAGGTCAGGGACTTTCCCATTTTTGTCTTTTTATCACCAGCACCTAACGTGGTTCCTGTCACGTAGTAGTTGCTTAGAAAATGTACGCTTATTGACTTCCTGACTCCTAGTCCAATCATCCTTTCACTAGGTCTAGCTGGTTTAGGCCTACTGACTGAATTACTTTTAGTTATTGGAAGGATGTGCTAGAGCCAATTCTAACCACTTGTGAGAGCTGATTGTTAAAATTTCACTATGAGCATTTACACTTCAGAAATTGGCAATTGCTACAAATCAGGACTTGATTTATGATATTGTTAAAAAATGTTAACAATAGGAATTAAACATGTAAGAGTGTATGCATACATTCCCCTCCCCCCCTCCAGAGGGCCCAGTTGTTAAATAGTTACCAACATACCCCTGTATTGTTGCACAGAGCCTAGCAAGATTGCAGTAGAAGCCTCAGAGTCCAGGTTTGACCCCCTAATAATATTACTGATAATAAGTGATATTTACATATCACTTTGAGGTTTGCAAAGTGTTTTACATTCATCATCTCATTTGAGCCTCACAGCATTCCTGGTTATTGGCCACAAATTCAACAACTTTAACAATCATTCGTGAAGCACCTACCCTGTGCAGAATGCTATGCACAAGAGCCAAGTGTTTATTTTCTCTAAGTAATATGGTTGTTTTGTTGTTGTTGTTGTTGTTTAATTATAAAACTTACAGTCATCAGAGCAAAAGACAGACATGTTAGTATTGTCATGGTATGTAAGTGACCCAAAGCCTAGATGTTTTAGAGTATTCCAATAAAAAGTCTGACTTTCAATTCTATTTTTTTTTTTTTGGTGCAGATTTTGGAGTTACAAATGCAAAGTATAATGGAAAAGAAAATGAAAACTAAGAAAAGTCTTGCAAAGCAATTAAAGGACAATCCATCATTAATAACCTTCTTCTGTAAAAACTGTAGTGTGATGGCCTGTTCTGGAGAAAACATCCAAGTGATTGAGAACATGCATCATGTCAACATGACACAGGAATTTAAGTAAGCATCTCCCAATTAATATTTGAGGTTTTTCTTAAAGGGTGCATGGTAGTTTTAATTGTAGATACTTTTAAAATGCATGCAGCATGTGTTGATTACAATATTTTCTGTTCTCCGCTCTCCCATCCTCCCCAAAGTTCTAAAGCAATCTTTTAGAGAAAGAGTTGTTCTGATTAAAAACAAAAAACAAAACAGAACCAAATACCCCCTTTTCTCCATAAGTGAATGTGTAACTAACATAGAACTTAGCTGCCAGTCATTGCAACAGTGCAATGATACTCTCTCCCTACCCCAAAAAAAGTTTGAGATACCATTCTAACTCACCATATCTCTAGGACAAGGCCACATGTGGCCTTCTAGGTCCTCAAGGGCCTCAGGTACCCCACCCCTGCTCTAGGATATCTCTGCCTATTTTTCAGAACTATGTTAGAAGTTACATTAGTTACAATCTTAATTTCATGGCATCGTTTGAACAATGAAATATCCAAAGTAGACTTTTTTGGATATCACTCAATAAGTGATCATCCAGTCTTCAATCTAAATTAAGCTCAGTGTCTTTGAAAACAGCAGGCATGTAGACTGCACAAAGCATCTAACGTTTGTTATTAGAATCTAATGAGATCCCTTGGTGTGTGACACAGTAGGGGGTACTATAAATTTATATTAAATAATATATGTGATTGCTTCAGATGGATCCATAATCAAATGTAGGAGATTAAAAACTGAACATAGAATTATGAATTGGATTTTAGAAGTGAAAGGATCATGGGAATTGGTATGGCATAGTGCAAAGCCGTGGAGTCAGGAAGCCTTAGATTCAACACAACTTCTGATAGTTACTTGCTTTGTGAAATAAGGAAAGGTACAATCTCTTAGCCTCAGTTTCTTCATGTGCAAAATGAAAATAATATCTGTATTATCTACTTCACAAAATTGTTGTGAGATTCACATGAGATATGTAATGTACTATCAATATCTTTGCCAAGAAAACCCCAAATGGAGTGACAACATGTTGGACGTGGTTGAAACAACTGAACAACAACAAAAATGACATATAAATGTCAGCTATTACTATTATTTTCTAGTGCAGTCCCTCAGTTTATACTTGAGTTAACTGAAGACAGGAGAAGTTAAGTGACTTGTCCACTGCAATGAAGCTAGTGCAAGGCCAGTGTGTGAATATAGAATGCACTTGGGGAAATGAGCCTCAAACCTGGTCAAAGAAAACATTCAGAAATCTGAGCAATGCCTTTAAGATTGGAGGGATGTCTTTTGGCAGAGGGGAGAAAAATCCTGTCTGAGGTATTCGAAAGAACTTGAGTAAATGTTGGAAAATAAAGGCCATAGTAGGGAACATGGAGTTGTGTTTCTTGATTGAAGAAGAATCTCTGGGATATTGTATACAGCCTGATACTTGGTCTGGCAGGGCAAAGCTCTAATACCAATTCAGATTTAGCAAAAGTACTTGATTGATATATCCCTTGTCAAATTTTAGGAAACTCTACATCGTAAGAGAAAATAAAGCACTACAAAAGAAATTCGCAGACTATCAAACAAATGGTGAGATCATTTGCAGTCAGTGTGGCCAGGTAAGCCTGTTGTTTTTATCCTTTTAGCCAACAATCAGACTTCATATGCTATATATGTAACTTATACCTTTTCTTTTCTTTTCTTTTCTTTCCAGGCCTGGGGAACTATGATGGTGAACAAAGGTTTAGACTTACCTTGTCTCAAAATAAAAAATTTTGTAGTGGCTTTTAAAAATAATTCCCAAAAGAAACAGTACAAAAAGTGGGTGGAATTGCCTATGATGTTTCCAAAGCTTGACTACACAGAACATTGTATGTTTAGTGATGAAGATTAATATGGACTTGATATTCTCTACATTCTTTAAACTTTATATTTTTACAAAGAATGCAGAGTCATATTTTTGCAGTGATTGCACCAGAGCATTGGGAGAATGAATGAGAACATCTCTTTAAATCATTTTGAGCTATTTGAAGAATGGTATTCTGTCAGGTTTCATATTATCCATGTTATTAGTGAGCAGATGAAAAAAGAATCCACAAAGCCATATTTGATTAATATAGCAGCTAGCATCATATAGTGCTGAGAAACCTAGAATAGACTTGCTTTGTAACTTACTACCCCAGTATTTTCTGCAAGGGTCATGACAATTGGCAGGAAAATTACCAAAAAGACAGGAACCCAGAAGGAAAAGAATTGAAAGAGACAAGTCCTAGCAAATCAAGATCTAAATAAATAAGACATTTCTATATATCAGTCATTGCTATATTTATTCCCAACTTTCATTTCCTGATCTCTGCCAATTCATACAGCAAAGAGATACTTTTTGCCTCTTTCTTTTCCGGAGTGGCAACCTTCTTGTGGCCACTCCACTCTCATATTTCCTAGTTCCCATAAAAGCCAATGAGAATAATCAAGCATTGGTTATATGGGTCATTGAACATTCCCCAACAGACGGAACAACCCCAGTTAAAACACTCCTCCCTTTTCCTCAAAAAAGTGAGGGCCAGGAACTACAATCGGGCTTTATCAATGAACAACAATTACTGAATTACATCAGCTGACTTGCTACAAGAGTACAGTTCTCTCCTGATAGATGAAGAAGAGAAATTTTGGCTACTTATTGAAGATTCTTCCTTCTTCTCTACTTCAGTTTAGAGACATAAACTTAATTAGCACCATGTTCTCTTGATTTTTTTTTGATATCTACGTATGGATTTTGGTCAACAATATTTATCATATGAAATGCAAAAAGGATAAGTTAAGCTATCCCTCCCTTCAAAGAAAAATGCCTCCAAGGAACTCCTCCAAACTACAGAGGAAGTAGAACACTCTTTAAGTGGCCTCTGGAAACTGTACAAGATTTTGTTGTTGTTTCAGTTGTGGGAAACTCTTCATGACTCCATTTGGGGTTTTCTTGGCAAAGATACTTGAGTGGTTTATTATTTCCTTTGCCAGTTTATTTTACAGATGAGGAACTGAGGCAAACGGGGTTAAATGACTTCCCCAGAGTCATGCAGCTAGTAAATGTCTGAGGCCAGATGTGAACTCATGGAAGATAAGTCTTCCTGATTTCAAGCCTAGTGCTCTATCCACTGCACTACCTAGCTACTCCTGTACAAGGATGCCAAAGCATAAAAATAATTAAGTGAATTGCTATGAATTTTTGAAATATCAGTAAACATCAGATTTTTTTCATCTAGGTTTCTCAGTGATTTCTTCAATTCAAAAATCAGTTTCTTTTCCAAAATATCAAGATACATGTCTCAAATATTCTAAACTTTTATATGTAATAGTGCCTAAAAATGAAAATTGCTGCTGACATTTTGTTCAGAAAGCAAAACTAATCTTTATTAATTTTCATACCTGTTACTGCTGCTATTAAATTGTAAATGCCCAGAAGCATTTTAGACACTTTATAGAACATGCACATGCATTATCCCTGTCCTACAAATGCGGTCTTCTTAGATTGATTATGCTATTGGTGAAATATCTGCAAAGTAAAATTCCACATTGGCATTTTAGCATGTTTTCACAAGAGAGGAAAAAAACTGTACATGGGAGAAAATCTATTGCACTTTCTACTACTTTTATACACGTATATTTTATTTGTCTTACACTGCACTGTGTGTGTATATGTGTGTATGTATATATATAAGATATATATATGTGTGTATATATATATATAAATCTTAAACTGAATTGTAAGCTTCTTGCAGACTTGTTTTTCAAGCATTCATAAGCACCTTCTATGTAGGTGTGAACTGTGCTGATATTTGCATCTCCCTTCTAGCTCAGTGCATTGTATAAAATGGAAGCTTGAGAATGGGGTTCTTAACCTAGGGTCAATGAACTTTTAAAAACATTTTAATAACTGCATTTCAATGTAATAATTTCCTTTGTAATCCAATGTATTTTACTTTATGCAGTTACAGACATTCTGAGAAGGGATCCATTGGCTTCACTACATTGCCAAAAAAGTCTGACTCAGAACAGGTCATGAACCACTGCTTTAAAATAGAAGGAAGTTCCTTGAGAGTAGGAATTGTTTAATTCTTTGTTTTTGTAGCCATAGGACCTAGCACAGTGCCTGACACATAGTAGGTCTTTAATAAATGCTAGTTGGTTGATTGGTAAATGCTTAATTGGAAGTATGCATGATTGATCATGTACGGTTTTATTTTTATTTTGTAATAATGGTGCCATATCACCCCAGTGTAAGTTACAGCAAAGAAAATAGCTTATTAACATCTAATAAGGATGCACTATTTGTGCACATTTTTCTTTTTGCATTTTTGATTAGATACAATTTCACCTTACTGCTCATTTTTAACGAACCTTGTATAAAGATGGGTAGTCCTAGATTTCAGATTACTTAGATGAATATAAGCAGGTATTAAAACTGTTGAGGAAAGAGATCTGAAAGAAAGCATGGTGACAGAATCTTCCTAGGAACCACAGTTCTCAGGGTTATTCTAGAGAAACAGCAAACTGATCTTTGTTGATCCCTAGCTTCCTTCCAAGCACAACTCAGGTACCACCTCTTCTGTAAGGCCTTTTCTGATTCCCCAAATTATTTGCACTTTATCCTTTTTGAAATTACTTTGTATTTACTTATTTTTGTACATGTTATTTCCCCCAACAGAATGTAAACTCCTCAAATCTAAGGATTGTTTTACTTTTATCTTCTGTAGTAGATAATAAATGTTGGTTGAATTGAAATGAATTATTGTTTCTATTACTCTAAACATCAATTTTGTAACACAGACAATGTTAAATTATCATGTGATATTCAAAGCTCAGGTACTATTTTCAAATTGTTACTTTACCTAGAAACCAGATGCTTGCTCAAGAAACTAGCAGAATTTTAAAGGAACTACCCACATTAAAAGAAAAAAATGAACTATAGACTAAACATGGAATTTATGAATTTGTTTTGTAAAATATATTGATAGTGCCATTTTAGATTGGTATCCTTTGTAATCCTGTGTCTTCTATATATTTAAAAAACATTTTTCTGAGAAAGGGTTCATGGACTTCCCCAAACTGCAAAAGGAAATTGTGACCCACAAACTGGTTAGTAACTCCTAGATTCAGCCATTACCCATTGTAACTATTATTCAGATATTTATCCTAGCACTGGAGGGAGTCCCACACTTATTCCTTTTTTGATCACAAATAGAAAAATTTCTATCACTTTCATTAATAAATAATTATTGAGTGTCCGTAGGGGCTAAGTAGATCTATGAGGTTTGAAAAATTTTAATTAGACACGTTCTTTGTCCTCTAGTACTTGTATTGACTGTTTTGTTGATCTATCCAAATAGTAACGGAAAAGCATTGAGCTTCAAAAAAGAGTAGTCAGATATTAAATGGTAAAGAGTGTCAATATGAGAAAATTTCATTTCTTTAAATTTCTTTAAAGCGCAGAATTCATTGTTAACCAAGCAAGTAGAATTTGGCCATTCTAGTTTAGGTTCACATAACCTCTCATGGACTATTGGGATAGCCTCCTAATTGTTTTCCTTCTCTCTTTTTTTTTTTCCAATCCATTGTCCACATGACTGTCAAAGTGATTTCCCTAAAGCATAAGTCTAACTTCCCTAATAAATAACTTCCAATGGTTCTCTGCTATTTCTAGGATCAGATATGAACTGACCTTTTTGGTTCCTATGAAACCCTTACACAACATGATGCTAACCTACTTTTCTAGTTTTATTATACAGTACTCACTTCACACACAGCCAAACCAGCCTTACTGGTTCCCATGGTACACTCTATATCTCATCAATCCTTATGCTCATACATAGGCCATCCCCTGTGCCTGGAATTCACTCCCTCCTCAGCTTAAGCAGCAAATAGACAAACTTCCTTGCTAGAGTCTCACTCCCAGCTTAATGCCTCCACCTCTCCCCACTTTCTAAAACTGTTGATAATAAGTATGTATATGCTGTGTGTCCCAGCCACACTGGTAATTCCTTGAACTGTTTCACTTTTTGACTTAGTATCTTCAGTGCCTAACCTAGTACCTGGCTCAGAGTCCATCAGCGTTCTGATTTGTCAGAATAAGGAATCCCCTAAAGTGGTTCTGTGGATTTGAATTTGCACTATTCAAATTTTAACTATGTAAAATATAGTAATTAGTTCCAGCCCAGTGGAAATACACATACGAATTTGACTAATATGAACACTTCAAGGAATTTATTTATTCATAATAATTGGGACTTAGTTAATAAATGCTCATGGTCTGATTGATTGTCTTTGATATGTTTTTGAACTCCATGCTTCATATTGTTTTCAAGTCATTGGTTATTAAAAAGAGATTAATAGTAAAAACCAAAGAGGAGATTTGTAGTTCTTTAAATTTTTAGATGTTTGCTACCAAATGTGTCATAAAATCCTTTTCTTTTTGTTATATTTACTTTTGATCTTTTGGCATGTGGGTTTTTTTTTAATTCACCTCTTTCAATGACATTCTCCTATTTGCCTATACTGAGACCTTGAAATCATTTTTGATTTCTCCCTTAGCTCATCCTTCATCCTCTAAGTCCTATTGATTTCACCTCTGCAATAAAAATCCTGTCTCTGACATTTACTAAATGAGTGACTCTGGGCAAATCAATCCCTTAATCTCCCTGTAATTCAGTTTTCTCATCTGTAAAAGTTGGGGTTGGAGTCTATGGAATCTAAGGTCCCTTTAAGCTTTAACTTTGATCCTATGATGTTATGACCTGGCATCCAATCCTCTTCCTTTCTTTACAACTGGCTCAGGCCCTTGAGTACCTCGTAACTATCTACAGCAATAGCTTCTTAGCAGCTCTCCCCATTTCCAACCAATCTTTTCTTCAACCCATTCTACACCCTACTGTTAGATTAGTCTCCCTAATGCCCAAGTCTGATCACAACCTATCCCCCAAGCTGCCCATGCTTTGTTCTTGCCTGAAATACGCTCTGCTTTTTTAAAATCTATCCATCTTTCAAGTCCTTAAGGAAATGTTGCCTTTTTTCCATCAAACCTCCTTCAACCATCCCAATCAGAAGTGGTAACTTCCTCCCATGAGCGCTTATTACACATTTTCCATGTTTTATCCAATTATGTCCTTTAAAAATAGCTTATGTATTTGTCTTATTGTATTTTACCAACTAGATTATAGGCTTCTTTATTTCCATGGCTTCAACCACCACCTCATGCCATGTATTGGCAGTGCATGGAAGTCATACAGATGTCTCCCAAATCTATATCTTTCACTCTGACCTCTCTGAGTTTTAGGCTTGCCTCCAAGCTATGTCCAGGACACCACTGGTGCCTCAAACAAAATATGTCCAAAGTTGAGCTTATTATCTTCCCTGCCCCTTGCTCTGTATTGTTGTGTTATTACTACATTATTTCTCTCTGTGGTACCACCAGCCTCCTATGTTCACAACCTTGAGGTACGTTTTAACTTTTGTCCCATTATCTCTCATGTTTAATGTTTTCCATCTCTGCTATCTCTCTCATTTCAGCCCCTTCTCAAGAGTAATGTGCTTCCATTCTATTACATGCCCTCATTTCCACCTTCATGGATAATTTATTGCAATAGCTTCCTAACAGGTATTCCCATTTCACCTCTGGCTGCCCTCCAATCTATCCTTCATGCCATGGCCAGAATAATCTTTTTTTCTGTGCATAGATATGTAGTTATGTCACATCTCTAACTCAGAAATCTTAAGTTTTTCTCTACTTGAGTTAAAAATCAAAGTCCTTTCCCTAGCATGCAATCCAGAACAGAAAGAAGCAAAAAAGTAAACTGTTTTCAGCCTAAATTCATTACTACCCTCTATACACTCTCTATACCAGGCAAACTGTACTATTATTTTCTGGCCCCTAACTATGTATATGTTTTTCCAATTCTGCCTTTACTCATGCCATTCCCAATACTCCCCTTTTTTGCCTT